CTTGATCCCCAGTGTGGGGCAAGCGTGCAGGAGGCAGCCAATCAATGATTCTCTCTCATCATTGATGTTTCTCTCTATCCCTCTCCCTTCATCTCTGAAATCAATAAAATATATATTATTAAAAAACCACACACACACACAACAAAAACCCCACACCTACTGCCTCAGTTCAGCTATGCAATTTTTTGCTATCTATCTATCTATCTTACCTAATAATAGAAAAACATGTAAATTGACTGTCCCTCCGCTACACTCACCAGCCAATCAGGAGAGTATGCAAATCAACCCAACAAAGATGGCGGTTAATTTGCATACATAGGCGTGAAGCAGCTGGACCCGCGAAGACTGAAGGCTCCGGCTAGAGTGAAGGCCTGGGTCCCAGGTGCCAGAGGAGAACCAGTGCCAGCAGCCAAGGGAAGGGAAGGCCTATTGCACGAACCTCTTCGTGCAACGGGCCTCTAATATATATATATATATAAAATAAATCTTTATTGTTCAGATTACAGTTGTTCCTTTTTTCTCCCCATAGCTCCCCTCCACCCAGTTCCCACTGCACCCCATGCCCTTACCGCACCCCTCATTGTCCTCGTCCATAGGTGTTCGATTTTTGTCCAGTCTCTTCCCGCACCCCCCTTTCCACCTGAGAATTGTCAGTCCACGCCCTTTCTATGCCCCTGATTCTATTATATTCACCAGTTTATTCTGTTCATCAGATTTTTTATTCACTTGATTTTTAGATTCACTTGCTGATAGGTATGTATTTGTTGTCACTTTGTTGTTCATAATTTTTATCTTTACCTTTTTCTTCTTCTTCCTCTTCTTAAAGAATACCCTTCAGCATTTCACATAATACTGGTTTGGTAGTGATGAACTCCTTTAGCTTGTTCTTATCTGTGAAGCTCTTTATCTGACCTTCAATTCTAAATGATGCTTTGCTGGGTAGAGTAATCTTGGTTGTAGGTTCTTGCTATTCATCACTTTGAATATTTATTGCCACTCCCTTCTGGCCTGCATAGTTTCTGTTGAGAATCAACTGACAGTTGTATGGGTACTCCCTTGTACGTAACTGTTTTTCCCTTGCTGCTTTTAATATTCTCTTTGTCTTTTGCCCTTGGCATTTTAATTATGATGTGTCCTGGTGTGGTCCTCTTTGGATTCCTCTTGTTTGGGGTTCTCTGTGCTTCCAGGACTTGTAAGTCTATTTCTTTCACCAGGTAGGGGAAGTTTTCTGTCATTATTTCTTCAAATAGGTTTTCAATATCTTGCTCTCTCTCTTCTTCTGGCACCCCCATAATTTGGATGTTGGTACGCTTGAAGTTGTCCCAGAGGCTCCTTACACTATCTTCATATTTTTGTATTCATTTTTCCTTTTGCTTTTCCGGTTGCGTGTTTTCTGCTTCTTTGTATTTCAAATTTTTGACTTTATTCTTGGGATCCTCTAGTCTGCTGTTGGATTTCTGTATATTATTCTTTATTTCAGTCAGTATATGCTTAATTTCTAATTGGTCCTTTTTCATATCTTTGAGGGTCTCACTAAATTTCTCAGAGGTTTCTAGAAGATTCTTGAGTAACCTTATAACTGTGGTTTTGAACTCTATATCCAGTAGTAGTTTGCTTTCCTCCATTTCTTTCTTGTGACATGTTTCTTTGTCTCCGCATTTTGGCTGCTTCCCTGTGTTGATAGAGTGTCCTTGTGTGGTAGGTGTCCTATAGGGCCCAGTGGCTCAGTCTCCCCAATTACCTGAGGTGGACACTCTTGGTGCACCCCTTTGTGTGCTGTGTGCACAGTCTTGTTGTAGTTAAGCCTTGATTGCTGTTGGTAACACTGGGAGAAACTGACCTCCAGGCCAATTGGCTGTGAGGACCAGCTGTGTCTACAATGGGAGAACTGCTGTGCTGGATGTCTCAGTGGGGCTTTGGTGCTCACTGAGTCTGCCCCTTGAGTGTGTTGCTTATGGATGTGAAGAGCTGTAGTCTATATGATCTCACACTGACCTCTGGGTACACTGTCTCTTGGATCCCCAAGGAGGTGCAAAGTCAGCCACTGCCTGAGACCACCCACCAGGAGCTACAGAGAGATCTTCAGATTCCTCCTCTTTGTTTGGGGTTTGAGGCCCAGCTGTGAAGCAATGCAGGCTGCTGTTGCAGGGTCTTAGGCCTTTTGGAAGCTTTGGAGCTCTCTGATCCAGCTGCAGTTTGTTAGGTTTTAGGTTGCAAAATGACAGGCCATTCATATGCAAAAGTTGCTGCGCACAGCTTGGGTGGGGTTGTAAATTGGGTGGGGCGGGGTCTCAGGGAATCATCAGGGTAGAGCAAACAGCAATGGCTGCTAGTCAACCCTTCTCTGGAGATGTCCCTGGGTCTCTGAGTCCCGTGGCCCCATGCAGGAACGATGATCGTTGCGAGCACCTCTGAGAGAAAGCCGCCCTTGCACTCCAGCCAGATGCCAGACAGTCTAGTTTCTCCCCGTATGAGTCTGGGTACCCAGAGTCTTGCCCAGAACTGGAGTTCAGAGCAATCAGGAGCTTGTATCTCCTTCCACAGAGCACCCAGTTTCCAGCCCGTTTCGCGTGCCGCTGTACCTCTGCACTTTCACACCTCCTACCAGCTTCAATGCGCTTTTTCCTTTCCTTCTAGTTGTATAACTTCCACTCAACCAGCTTTCCTGTTCTGGTTCTGGATGATCTTTGTTTTGTCTTTTAGTAGGAGTTTTGATGTGGTTGTGAGAGGCAGCAAGTACAGGTGCTTACCTATGCTGCCATCTTGGTTGTCCTCCATTATATATTTTTAAAAGGCATTTTAAATAGTTTGGCTATATTCAGAAATGTAACTGCTTAAAAAAGGTCTCTAGTGCATTAAAGGACTGTGTTTGGGGAGGTGGTGGGGGAAGAGGGCAGATGAACAAAGTATTACTATAGTTTCTTTGAGTAAAACCTACTCACTAATCAAAGTCAGCAACTGCTGCTTGCTACGTGGTGGGTCATATATGATCAACAGTCCTTCAAAGACTTTTTTGCTGCTTCATGTTTTCTTCTTCCCAGGAAGAAACAGATAATACGTGACTTGGAGTAAAAAAAACCTGGGTTCAGATCATGTCCCTGTCAAAATATGCATTAACAATTTCCAGGCACTATATTTTCCTGCCATTTATCACTTCTGAATTTTAGGCTTTACCTCTATGAAGTGGGTATACCAACAAATGTCCCCTTTTCATAGGTGATTGTGTAGAAAAAAGTATAAGCAAACTGTAAAGTGCTATCTAAGCATTTATTATTGCTGTTTCTACTACGTCTTCCTGACATATAGAAAGTACTCAACAAACCTTCACAAACTTATTAATGAACTGGGCTAATTATAGTGGGCAAATGGCAATAGTGGCTAAATCATGAACCTTTAAACCAATAACACTTTTACTTCAAACTTAATGGATATTTAACTGTAAAATATTAATATTTTACATAAAACTAAGTTGAACACCTTGAAAATATCCCAGGGGAAAACAATGCCTTGACTGCCAGAAGAGGTCACTGTATTCATCATATACAGGTGAATCCCAGGTATAGTAGATAGATACTAGCATAGCAGGTTTCATTTAGTTATAGAGGCAGTAGAATGAGAGGTTAGGAGCCTGAGCTCAGGGGTTTAAATCTCAACTAACAAGTTGTATGACTGTAGGCAAATTGCTTAACCTTTTCTAAATCTCAGTTTTCACATACATTAAAAGAGAAATGCAGTAGCATAGACTAGTACGATTTCTGTGAAGATTAAGTGTAATAACATAGGTGAATACTTACCATAGTGATGCCTGGTTAGCTATCGATCTTCATCAGGCTATCTACAGGATGACTTACTATGAGTGGAACTAAACCAGGAGTCCTCCATTTTACAATCTGCTATTAACCTTTAGCCATGGTGTATTATGGTATCTTTTTGACAAACACAGCAAAGGGGGACCACTGTGGTCATATATCCTACTAGGTCATCACATGCCACTATGCTGCTTGGGTGACCTTATATATGCTTACTGGGAACTGTAGTTCCCTGCCCTGAATATTAGCAGACGTCCAAAGGTATAATTCTTCACATTTCACTAACCACTCTCTGAACCATACAGACTCCCTGGGTTATACTTTCCAATTTCTTATCCAAGTTGCTCATGCTCTATGTTTCACTTCCAATAAAATTTATCTTTCTTTTTTCAAATGGAAATGTCAAAAAGCTTAAGATGTGCATACATGCATACTTTTTCTCATTTGCAGTGAGTGAAATCCTGCTAATACAGAAGCTATAATAGTGAAACACTATGATAGGAACTCCTTATAATAGTATATACCATGTTAAATGATGATGGTGGTCAATGAAGCAATTGCTTCACATTCAATATCCTAGTGAAATGTATTAACTACATTAAAAAAAAAGAGAGAGAGAGAGAGAATCTACCCCTTCTTGAGATGTCCTGCTAAGTGAGTAAAAAACCTTAATTCTAGATCTATAAAATTTATCAAAATAACCCAACTGTGAAACCATTGAGATTCTTATCACTGATAATTTAATAATGCAGTAAATTCTGGATCTTGGATATAAAAGACATTCCTCCTTCATGCCCTCAACAGTCATCTTCTTTGAAATCATGCCTACTCCTCTGGGACTGGGGAGGCCCCTCCTCTGGGGCAAGGCTGGGCCCAGTCACCTTAGCACGAGCTGTCCTTCCAGTCTGCCTATCTGTGACAGTGCTACCTGCCAGCAGCATCCTGGTGTCTACTGGGCTGCTGCAGATTGAACAGACTGTGAATCCAGCTAGAGGATAAGAGGTTGTTTTAATTGGCTAAATCTGTGATGTACTAAGCGTATGGCCATGAATTTGTAGCCAAAACACTAATCTAAAAAAAATGTCATGTGCAATTAAAACAGAAAACAAAAACGACATTTTCACTCATCAATTCTAGTTTTGCCACAAGGGTTTTTAAACTAACATTTTATAATGACTACCAAATCCTTACCTTTGCTGAAATAGAATTTTCATGGTATACTCCTTGTACCAAGTCCCTAAGGGCACTTGCTAAAAGTTCCACAACCTAAAAACAAGATAAAAAATTAAAAGAAATAATTTAAAAAATGTATCTGCATTTTTACCTCAGAAGGCCTCAGAAGGCTTAGGAGCAAGGCAGTATTTGTGTTTGGTAGAGAAAAAAACAGGGTTATGTGCAAAGATTCTGGCAAGTGGCACTGCCCACCTGGATAGTAAGAGCTGTGATCCAATTTTTTCAGTCATAAGTTAAGCAAAAAAATCTTGTAAGCACAGCATTTAACTAATATACATGAAAATCCAGTAATAGCCATTTTGAACATAAAATTAAATTTCATGTAACTAATGAAATTTTAACCCAATTTATTTTCTGTATGTTTATTTCTGTCAGGTGGGTACTTTTTCAATATCCCCATTTTGGGAGCCATTACAATGCTAATATTCATACTTAATATAGAAAGAAAAGCAAATGCAAAAGAATACTAGTAGTTAACCTTTCCAATGTGTTCATTTTGTTGTATTTAAAATGCACTATGGATATATTCAGTGTAGGGACTCTGGGTCAAACATACCTTATTTTCAAATCTGAAAATTTTTACAGAAACATTATATTGAAATCGCATTCATTAAAACTTATTAATTTCAAGGTCCAGGCTATTTTTAAAAACCACACACACAATCAAGCAAAATCAAAAGCTTTGAACTTGTTCCAGAATGTAAAACAAGCAGAAAACAGTAAATCGTCTCTTTGGAACTACTGTACAATTTAGAGTTGTTTGCATTAACCATCTTAATTCACAAGGATAAAATAGTGCTATTTATTATAATGATCACAGCAGCCATTTCAAACAAAAATTCCTCAAGGGAACTCTATCCACTTCTTATGAAGTCTTACTATCTTGTATATTTAGCTTCCAATATTATGCAGTTCTGTATCTGATTCTCACTCTTTGTTTCCTAAAATTTAGCTCAGTTTTGATTGAATTAAAGGATTTTATTTCAGCTTTTATCATTCTTGTAATTGAAGACGTTATTAAGCCAAAGGATACAGACCCAAACATCAAGATATTTCAATTTCAGGTACCCTGGATTTAATAAACATTTTCTTAGAGGCAAATTATATTAATTTGTAGAAAGGTTTGCTTTACAATTTTAACACATGAGCACTTATCTCCAAATTTATATTTACATATATACTGTATAACACACACAAGGCTGCTGATATGGAAATTTTGCTGATTAAAGGCATATCTTTTTCTAGCTCCTCAAATAGGTTAATTTGTAAGACCTATACAAAATCTTTTTTTTTTTTTAATCGCATTGCCCTTTAGGTAACCAAATGCTTAAGAAATATTGTAGCAATATGAGCTGCAGAGGAACTGGAAGGACAATGATCCTACAGTGTTACCAGATGTGTTGAGTTATTTAAGTGGGGAAAAGAGAAAAATGAATGGATTTCCCCCCCTGAAGGTATCAGATAAGCCCTAGTCCCAAATCCAGGAGGATTGAGTATCATCAATAGGTCTATGAAAGACTGTAACTAAATGCACAGCATCAGATTGGATTACAGTTTATACAAGCAACATCCCAAGATCCTCCTGATGGCTGGACACATAATACAGATCAATCACTCACTAAGAAATGTTATGGTTTTGAAACAGTTTGAGCTCTGAGACCAGCACTGGTAAAGCGAAGAGGGATTTACAAAGATAAAGTCTGACACTAAACGTCAAAATGACGGTATGAACTTTTAATAAAGAATCTGGATCTGTATTCCTTTACTTTCATAAAATTCCAGACCAGGCAGAAGCAAGAAAAACAGTTTATTCTCTGATTTGTCTTCTCTTAATGCAATCAGCATATTCAGGCAGACCTGTATTTACAAGTTCATAATCTGTAAATGACCTATACTTCCAAATGGTCATACGTACTTGGACAGAATATACCTTCATAGCCAATGACATTCATCATGGAACAAACTGGACTATTGTGGGTTAACAAGTCCAGGAAGATAAGAGATTACGAAAAGCAGGAATAGCCTACGGGAGTTGAATGTGTCCCAGGCAAAGTGACTTACTCAGTGCACACATAAATCTCTTTCCATTGCCTAAAAAGTTTACTTTTTAAAAAAATATATTTTTATTGATTTCAAAGAGAAAGTGAGAGAGAGATAGAAACATCAATGATGAGAGAGACTCATTGATCAGCTGCCTCCTGCATGATCCCCCGGGGATCAAGCCTGCAACCTGGGCATGTGCCCTTGACCAAAATTGAACCCAGGACTCTTCAGTCTGCAGGCCAAGGCTCTATTCACTGAGCCAAATCAGCTAGGGCTGAAATGTTTACTTTTAAAGTTACACCAAAGAGAGAGATGTGTTTAAGTATCATCCTCCTTTAAAATTGCAAATATTTACAGAAAGACAGCAGGGCTACCAGCTACACTACTTTAACAAAACTAATATTTTCTTTATTATACTAGAGGCCCGGTGCACAAAATTAATGCACTGGAGGGGGGTGTCCCTCAGCCCGGCCTGTGCCCTCTCACCCTCAGGAGCCCCTACCCTGTCGGGGCTCTGTGATGGATCACCCCAGCAGAGGGAGGCCCTGCCCACCCACTGCAGTGCTCCCACTGGGTAGCGTGGGCCTCCCTCTTTGGGGCAATCGATCGCGGGGCTCCGCCATCGATCATCCCCAAGAGGTAGGCCCCGCCCACCCGCTGCAGCACCACCACGTGGTAGCCTGGGCCTCCTTCTTTGCGGCAATTGTGAAGCCCCCCGATTGATTGCGTCGCCGGCCGGTGGCCTGGGCCTCCCTCTGCAGGGCGATCACGGGGCAATGGCCAGGCCCCTGACCAATCGCATTGCACCTGCCTTGGCTGGTCTGGCACCAGTGGGTGTCATAGTGTGGTCTTCCAGATGGCCCTCCATCATCCGGATGGTCAATCTGCTATTCGGCTGATTTGCATATTGCACTTTTATTATTATAGATGGCTTACCACCTCAGGCATTCACCTGTTTAGACACCTATTATACTAAAATATAAGAAAGCAGTTGCTTAATAATAATATTTCTTCAGACTCTTGAGGAATAATCTGTTCAAGCAACCCAAAATGGTAGCCAGGACAATGGCAGCCAGAGGATAATCCAGAAGCCTAAATGCTGGACCTCCTGAGGCTGAGTCCAAGGCCCAGACTTCTTGTGCTTTAGACAAGAGCAACCCTGAGAAACATTGAAGGACTTTTGTTTCTCAAGTCCAAGGGGCCAAGCAAACACTTTCTAAAGAAGATAGTCTGAAAGAGCCTGGATGTTAGCCACTCTCAGAAGCCCAACAGATTAGACTGGAATGACACAGAGCAGGTGAGGAGCCAGAGGCTTCAAGGCCTTACTACTTATTTCATTGTGAGATTTGGGGCAAATCAATGAATTTCTCTAAGCTTTGGTTTTCCTCAACTATAAAACAAGGAATATTGCAGAACATAATTCCTTAAAGTCCCTTCTAGTTCTAAGGTTCTGAGCTTCTAGAAATGTAAATCTTAGTATTTATAATTAGACATGTAAATGTAAAAACTACTTTTATGGCAATCTTTTCTTTTCTCACAGACCTTTTCTTCTGTCTGAACTCTAGTGATCATTTGTGAAACTTTTTGTACCCAATCCATCTTGGCTCCAATACCTAGAATCAAAAGGAAACAATTTCCATTTTTAAAAAACCATTCTGACTGGTAGCCCACCCCATCAGCAGTAAAAAAGCCCTACTTAGGTCAATTGCTGAGATCTGGGTCTTGGTGGGCTCTAAGGCTTGGGAGTAATTCTCACTTATTGGATTCAGATGACATCAGGTTTGAGTGTAAAACTGCATCAAACAAACAATGGCACTAGTTGTCCACTTCATTTCCTTCTCTAGTGAGTAAATATTAGAGCACCTAAAAAAGCATCTGAACATAATAAATCTCATTGAGTGTTAACTTATTAATCTCCTATACTTCTATATTATTACTCTATATTCAATATAAATCGTGGATAGATGAAAGGCACAGATTAGAAACCAAGATTATAGTGTCTTTTACACCATGTGCCCAAACAGCTAATCTAATAAAAGACAAACATGCAAATTGACCGTACCATCGCTATGCCTTAAGCCACGCCCACCAGCCAATCAGAGCAACTACATGCAAATTAAACCAACCAAGATGGCGGCCGGCAGCTACAGAGCTGAAGTGAGCAGGAGGCTTGGTTGCTCCAGTGATGGAAGAAGCCAAGCTTCCCGGCTGGCTCTGAGCTCCACTGAAAGCAACAAAGTTTCAATTACAGAAGGTAAATAAATCCCAGAATAAAAAAAAAGAAAAAAAGGAGAGGCTGGGAGCTTCCGTCGCCGAGAAGGGGGTGCTTGGCCAGCCTGAAAACGGCCCTCAGCCCCCCCCCCAGACTGGCCAAACCCCCATGGGGTGACGGTCCCCCCTGGGGGGGGGGGGCTTGACCAGCCTGCAAACAGCCATCAGCCCCTCACCCAGGCTGGCCACACCCCCATGGAGTGAGGGTCCCTGCTGGGGGGCTTAGCCAGCCTGGAAACGGCCCTCAGCCCCTCACCCAGACTGTCCAGGCACCCCAGCAGGACCCCCCACCCTGAATGGGCTGTGGCCAGCCTGCAAACGGCCCTCAGCCTCTAACCCAGGCTGACCAGGCACCTGAGGAGGGGACCCCTACCCTGAAGGGGTTGTGGCCAGCCTTCAAACAGCCATCAGACCCTCACCCAGGCTGGCCACACCCTCATGGGATGAGGGTCCCTGCTGGGGTCTTGGCCAGCCTGAAAACAGCCCTCAGCCCCTCACCCAGGCTGGCCAGGTACCCCAGCGGGGACCCCTACCCTGAAGGGGCTGTGGCCAGCCTGCAAACAGCCATTAGCCCCTCACCTGGGCGGGCCAGGCACCCCGGCGGGGACCCCATCCCTGAAGGGGCTGTGACCAGCCTGCAAACAGCCATCATCCCCTCACCCAGGCTGGACTGAGGGACCCCCCCCCCAAGTGCACAAATTTTTGTGCACCGGGCCTCTAGTTTTAGAAGAAAGTGGGTTTTAATTCAACAACAGAGCACACAAAAAGACTATTTTAACCAAATCAGAGAATTCTGTAATATTGATTTGTTGCATCCTGAAATAATTTCAGATTATATGATGGTCACTATCAATGTTATAAAATTACTTTAGCAGTATAGAGAGTAAACAAAAGGGATATTATTTTCTTCATTTGTGCATTTCTGGAGGTTGTAAAAACAGAATTGCTTACCTGTACATTCAAATGCAAAAATGCTTTTCTCTCCAATTTGTGCCATGTTTAAATATGACTCTATAGCAATGCTGCACATTATCCCCCAATCTTCTAACACCTTAGATTTCAGTGAGCCAGAAGTGGTAACCATTCACAATGGCATTGTTAGGAGCTGGCTTCTCCTGTCATCTCATTTTTTGGCTTTCAGGAAGGTCATGCAGAAAAGTAAGTGAACAGTGTTCTTCCTTCCAACTGGTATTCTTAAGCAACTGTCGATCTTTCTCATTTCACTCTCTACCCTCTCACCAAAGGAAAGGAATAGGTAATATTCATATGTACCTAAACCTTAGCACACATATCTGATACAATTGACCTTTGAAATAAATTTCATAAACAGTTATTTTACAGGACAAATTTCACCAATTTCAGGGGAATATATAATTGCTTCATTATCTTTTGGCAAAAGGGTAACTACAATTCAATGATTTTTTTAACGAAAAAACTAAAGTGATGTCTACCCTTATAAAAGGTGTTGTGATGATTATGCCCTGAATTATAATAAAATTCTCTTTATAAAAAATAGAAATTGAGAGAAGTAGTAAGAACACAACAGTGACCAAAAAATATCCTCACTTATATTGCCATACAAAGTTGTCTGTAACATATTCTTAAGGTGGGTAAAAAGCTGGTTACACAAAAGAATAGCATGATATGTATTTTAAAAACAAAAATGAGGCCAATTTATGTGTTTAAACATGTAGAGAAAAAAGTGTAAAAGGAAAGATAATAATATTAATAATGACAATGTGTAAATGGTAAGATTCTGGATGATTTTTTAAAAATATGTTTATACTGACTTTACAGAGAGAGGAAGGGAGAGGGAGAAAGAGAGAAGCATTGATTGGCTGCCTCTTGCACTTCCCGTACTGGGGATTGAGTCTGCAACCCGGGCATGTGCCCTGACTGGAATTGAACCCGTGACCTTTTGGTACATGGGGCAATGCTCAACCAACTGAGCCACAACAGCCAGGGCTATTCAGGATGACTTTTAATTAAAATTTTTTTCTTCAACTTTTCTGAATTGCTTAAATTTACAACATATTACATTTCCTCCCTCTTTATTATACTGCTTTAATAATCAGATAAAACAATAAACCTACTTCCATGGAGGGGAGAACATGGGGAAGAATACCCTGCTTTTGGTCTCAGAGAAGCTTCATGCTGTGCTGTGTTCAAATTCATTTATGGAATATATCAATCAACAGTCCCTGGATTAGCAAGAACAGGATCTGCAAGGCTGGTAAGCATTCTGTGTAGACAAGTTATTCCTTTCCCAATAAATGGGAATAATGTCAGTTAGTATTTGACAGATGGAATAAACTCACCAGAGTTGTAGATGTTTAACTAGGAAACTGGAACACTTTGGTTTGAGCAGAACACCTATCCTAAGTTAAGAGTAAAATGCAGCTAAATTTTTAGAAAAAATGTTAACTATAAACTAATGTGGCCCAATTAAAGCTAGGCAGCATAAGCTAACTGAGCTGATATAATAAGGCAGTAGAATTGTATTTTACTTCACTTAAAAAAGGTTGCTACATATGCAATATGCTTGGTAGGTATATAAAAACTGTGGAGGCTATTACAGATTTATAATCTTCTTTCAAAAACTTGTGCTGGAAAGGTTATTTTAATGATGGTTTTTACTCCAGTGTGGAATGACAAGACAACACGTGATCCATCACTCTATTTAGGAGGCAAATGAACACATGGCCCTCAGCCTTTACTACTCTTTACAGCTGCTAGTAAAGGAAACAGTTCTGTGTGCACGCATCTGCAGTGCTGATGGCATTAATTACACGCAAATTTATTGCACTCCCCCACCACCCCCAGAACAAATAGTGCATAAAGCAGTAGCAAAGGAAAGTGCCCTTGGGGAAGAATTATTTCTCATATACATCCTGGGAGGAACAAAAGAGGAATTTAATGTAAACATGTCCTTTTCAAAGAGCTTTGGCACTTGAAGGAATATTGTTAAGGTTGGTTTTTTTTAATACACAAAACCTATACTGTCACTAAAGAAGTCTTACAGAAAAATACATTTATAGATAAAGGATGCTGAATAGTCTGCTAATGGTAACCAGAGCAGTTAGCAACACTCTTTAGTTCCTCTTCATACAAATGAGGCACAAAGTATTTGAGAGATGCATTTAAAGAGGGAAAGACAACACTACCAAGGTAAGGCAGACAAGGAATGGCGAAGGAGTAGTGCTCACCCATAAAGAGACCAATAATAACCTCTAACATTTGTAAAGCACTTTATCATTTATAAATTGGGTTTAAGCAAACTACCTCCAGCCACATGGATTCAGTCTTCAGTGCGCAGCCAGAGCTACCAGGCTGGCAGGCTCAATGGAGAAGCAACCTCGAAAGAACACAGGGAGCAGGAGCAGTGGCCAAATAAGGGGTGAATCTACTCACCCACCACCTGGGCACACACTACCCAGATGAGCCCTAATCTGCAGTGCTGATTAATATAAATGAGGGGCTTTAATACAGCCACTGATGAAGTCTATGAAAGAATGGCTTCTCCACTTCTTCCTATCAGACAAAGACTAGATTTAATGAAGACAATGATGAAAGGTCTGTTGCAATAAACATACCACTAACTCACAGGAGTTCTGGAGGAAGCTTCTAACTTGGCTTTTTGAAGGGAGCCTTTTCAATGCTGCCAAATGCGTAAGGCCGGGCTTATTTGTGGGAGGGATGGCAATCTGTTCTAGTGAGCTGGAAGTTCTTTCTGGCTAAGGGGGAAGAGCAGAGAGAGAAATGGCACTACCAGTGGGACAGGTGCAGCAAAAACTAAGCAAATTGATAATCTTAATTTTTAATTTAGAACAGCTGATACACTGGTTTATAAACTCTAACTACTAGTAACATTTGTCAAAAAGCATTCAGGAAAATTTAGTGAACTAAAGAAAAGTATAAAATCATAACTGATAAAGCTTACAAGAAATGGGCCACAAGTTCAGAAAAACAGCTTGAATCTGAAGTGTTAAAATGTAATACCACTAGTGTACTCATTTAAGAAACATTTGCTGATAGCCTACTATGTGCCTGGTACCATACTAATGAAAGCAGTTATAGCCTTATATAGCCCATTAATTTGTGTTTGATCACTTAAAAGGTTAATACATAGGTAAGCTGCATGTCCTCTGGCCAAATCAAATGAATTCTATGGGCCTCAGTTTGCTGGTTTGGGTAAGAGGTGTCTGTTTTATCAACAGTAAGACTCATAATCAGAAATAATTAAATGTGCAGGTATATGCATTTTTTTATTCATAACAATTGTAAGGAATAGTTAATTAGCCAAAAATGTGGATGTTAGTCCAACAATTTGTTCACCTTTTGAAAGAAGGTGCATGGTTTCTGGCCTTCTGTTTGTACTGAGCAATAACAAATAATCATTTATTTACTTAAACAATGATTAGTTCCCTGAAAAGGTAGCAGATAATTTAAAATGCTTAAATCAAGATTAACTTCTCATAAGAAATAAAGGAGAAGATGATTTCTAGTAGGTTAAAAGTTGGTTGGGCTAAGTAGCATTACTACAAAAAGTGTAAATAGCTGAGAACTGAATGCTTAGTCATGAAACAAAGTAATTCTGACATTATCATACAACATTATCATATCAATCTTGTTGGTTTATATCATTGATGTAGACTTTTAGCTTCGATCCTACAAGATTTATAAAAACAATCGGCTTAAACCACATTTGGACAAAGAGTTAAAAATTTCAGGATTTTTATGGGATTCACACATATGTCTTGAAAATTCCAAGGATATAAAATGTTTTGGGTAACACAAGTCTCTTTTCAGCTTGACCAGTTCCCTTTAAATTGGCCACACTAAAAGGCAGATGTTTGTAATTTAGAGACATCCCAAGGTTTGCTTCAAAGGCAGCTACAGAAATAAAAACGTGAATCATATGCATTAAAACCCATGCATCTTGTTTAAGATTGTAATTGTATTTCTTCCAAATACCTCCACAGCTCTCTAAAATGTGTGATTCAATGGAATCCTAAAAATAACTTGGCCCTACTGGTACTACATTCTAAAAATTCAGGTAATCTTTTCTTCCTTCCTTCAAAAATTCAGGCAGTAGAAACTTGAGACTGGTTGCACTGTACCCTTGAATCAGATATTGCATACCCTTGGGTTAGAAATTCCCCAGTTTATAAAGATACACAATTAGCTCTTTAAACTGGTACCTCCAATGCTTACTTAGCACAATGCACACAAAAATTTTTATTGAATTACCAATACTGTTCTAACATGTAAATTAGTTATATCAATCAGAACTATTTAAAGACAAATTTGCTGTTATCACTTCATTTTATCACTATTTTCAGAAATTTACATTTGCATATCACCTTATAGCTTTTAAAGTCTTGAACAAATGAAGCTGTATAAGTTCCTCATCACAAATGTGCCGTCAAGCTGAGTTTATTAATTTAGGGTATTGCTTTAGATTGCTGAATTATGCATCTACATATGCAGACCTCTGGCATTTATAAAAGACTTTGGGTTCTCTATTATATCTCTGATTTTATAAACAATTTTTTCTTGATTCTTTTATTCCTTTATATTTCATGCTGTTTTCAGGATCTGGTAATATGTTGTAAATTTAGACCCTTTCCTACAATACTCAGAATTACAGAATATTGGAGCAAGAACATAGGGGATGAAGATAATGCTGCCTTATTTTACAGATGAGAAAACTAAGAAAATAAGTTGCCTTTGCTTAACAGTTATTTCTCTAAAATGTTTCCAAAGACCCTACTGATGCTTGTATTGAAATATTCCAATATCTAAAAACTACTAGTTGTTTAAAATATAAATTCCAGGATCAGGAACTGTAACATTGCTGACAAAAAGCTGTCGGCTTGTTAGTTTTCTACTTTGGTTAAGCATGAGGGTTTTGGAGCCAAATGGCCTGGATTTAGACAGCAGTGCTACCATTTAGTAGCAGCAACACTGCGAAGAAATTACTTAACCCTTTCCTGTACTTCAGAAGGGATTAAATGTATTTATACGTATAAAGCAATTACAACACTGCCTACTATATAAGTACTCAAAAATATGTTAATATTATGTTTAAATGTTTAGTAGTAATTCTAATATTAAATATTCTACATCACGAGGTTCCTAATTTCATTTGTAAAGTGGGGTAATTAAGACATTAAACAGACTGAGAAGAAAAAAGATCTGAACCTGGAATTCTGAGAGGTAAAATGAGTAACCAATGTTAAATGGCTAATTAAAAAAAAAAAAAAAAAAAAGCCAGAGATAGGAATTAAGTCCACAGACTTCTACCTCAGGGCTCTTCCCACTTCTCTTAGTAGCTTTATATGGCATCTCTGAGGAGTATAAAATAGGTAAGTGCCTATATAGCTCAACACATTAGAAAACGTAAGTGATCCACAAGAGTATAGCTGAAGCTGCTTAGTAGTGAAATAGGTAATCTGATATTCTAAAGAGGGAAATTGTCCTTTAAAAAACTAAAGGCTGGACATACAGTATAGGTTTGGTGTTTACCGATGTCTGACTGACTATGCACAGTGAAAATGGTCCCAAAGACAATTAAGCCACATGAATAATAACAAACAATTTAATGCATTTTCCAAACGGCTTAAAATGAAACTTCTTTGGCAGAGCTATACTTTCCAACAAACTCACTTTAATGTTTTCACAGTTTACAATATCAGAAATGACCTCAGGGTCAGGCATTTGTCGGTTAATGACCTGTTGGGCTAATGGCCTTCAGCTTTGCCTTGGGCACATCAGTCCTCCAGTAGGTCATTAGCTGCCAGAAAAGGGCTCTTCCCCAATCACTATTGCTAAATAAATAAAATTTGCTCCTGGGTTAAGGCCTCATAAGCCAACTTTAGCTTAGAGTGATTTTTTTTTGTTTTTGTTGAGGATTTACAACTCTGAGGATTTGACAAAATGATGGAAATGCTAAAATCAAGATTCTATCAATACAACTCAGCTATACTAGTATGTTGCTACTAATGAAAAGTTGTCACATGGATCCTTTTGGATGCCCTTAAATTTTATTTTGCTTACGATGTTTGGTGCTCATACCACATTTCTCCAATATACAAGGTTATAAATGGTGGTTATGTTCCCAGGACAGCCCACAAAAGCTTGGTTAGTCTGTACATTAGGAATACTATATACTTGCAATTAAAAATAGAATAGAAAACCATAATTATCTAATACCTGCAGTTAAACAAAATAAAAAACCAAAACCAAACAGGAACTGTTGTAAAATAAATAAGGATAGTTACAGGTAAATTTGGTTTAATAAGAGGATCAAGGTAGAGAAACTGGTTCTATCTTATGCCTATTGCATTTCTAATTGTATGGTTTTCCTTTTTCTGAACACAAGAGTATAACAAGCTTTACTCTGATGTTTTAAAACTCCACATGGGGGGGTAAGAGATCAACCAAAGGACTTGTATGCATGCATATAAGCATAACCAATGGACATAAGACACTGGGGGTAGGGGAGGCCAGGGGATTGTCAAGGACGGGGAAAAAAAAAAAAAGGAGACATATGTAATACTTTTTGTAATACTTTAAGCAATAAAACAATTAAAAAAAAAACTCCACATGAAGTTTCTTGGCTTATTTTTCCCCTTGAAAGGAGAAGGCAAAAGATGGATGGTGATTTTTCTGAAAAAAAGGTAACAGAAGGAATGAAAAACTGGAGGAAAAGAACCGAAATCAACTGAGTTGTGAACTGTAAGAGACAAAGAAAGGGCACTGTGTATAAGTCTACTGGGTGAAGAAAGGATGGGTGTAGAAGACATGAGGTAAGGTTGCTGAGGATGCAAAGGAAGGAATGAGCTGTTCATCTGCCCCGTACCTTTGTAAACTCCGAACTCAGGAAATTCCTTGAGTAAAATCATTAGAAAGTCAAAAGAAGAGTACTGAATAACTCAAGCTGGAAAACAGACTTTTGGCTTTGGATAAATAGAATTTATGTCAGGAAAATGAAGGGGGAAAAATGGTTTAATTAATTTTGTTTCTGGAAACTAGAAAAAGGGCTTTAGAAAAATTGAGGTTGCTAAGTGTACTATGAAATTGCTATAATCAATATATTTCTATCTCTCATGGCCAACTGTGGGGTGGGGTTCAACTCCACCAATATCTTCAGAGGACTTATTTTTGTTGAACACAGACTTTTTAAAAAAGAGCTTCTATGAATGTCAGGCATATGGAAGAAATGCTTTTCTTGCTCTTCTTCCTTGTTATCTATGTTTGATACAGACACTCAGAGAAGTATCCATATCCATTTACATGACGGCATTTGACCTGCCTATGCCAAAAGGTACTTTGTTTCGTTGTTTTATGGCACCAAAAGGGCAAAGTTTAAGGTTTTAATGAGATAAATTTTAAAAGATAATATTTTGTCTTCTTATACGTCTCAAACATTAATCGCTTATCACTTTTACTTTAAAGATCAAGGAAGCAAGCTCAGAACACATAGTGTCAGTTTAATATGTGGTTACATAAGCAATTGATAAGAAAAAACTGTGGGAAAATTAATTTGGGGATTTTGAAATTGTAACTTTATGATGCATTTTGACTTTTCTATTTAATTTATATGAAGATGATTTCCTTTATTGTTACAATATATGACACCCACTTAACCTCTGTACCACATTTACTCTTGTCATGAAAACCTACATTTGAGTGGGTTATATGTAGAAAAGAACATTAATCATGGGTGTCA